GAGAACAGCCTATTTTCCTTTAAAGTGATAGCAAATGGCAAAAAAAACCCCACAAAAACATTTTCTCCTTGAAAGGCGTGCTGTCACTACTGTCAGGGCTTCCATCTTCACTCAGTCTTCTTTCAGGGTTCGCAGACTGTTTGAATGGCTGAGCTGTGATGTTGTCACTTCCCTGCATGTGCGTAGGAGCACAGTGAGCATGCGTCGGTGAAGTCATTAGAGTTACTAAAGTATATATCTTCAAAGCAGTACATGTTTGGAAGATATTTACTGTACCTACAGGGTAAATCTTGTTATAGCCTTACCTGTAGGTATAAATGAAGGAAAAGGCTTTACTACCACTTTAATAAATCAATGTATATGATACAATTAGACAAAAAAAAAGTATATTTCCCTTAAAACTTGCTAAATGAGATGTGGCTGATAGTTTCAGTAAAGGAATTGCAGATGAGAGGGATATTATATAAAAAAGGCTATCCAATACATAGATATGCTCCTTTAAAGATTAGTAGTGTATGTACATTATTTTACTGTAAAATATAAGGATATAACACTCTAACTCTTCTGTATCATCTGACTAGTGTATGTAACTCAATTTATCTTTTAAAGGGGAAGTTTTTAGCCACCACATGAGCTATAACATGAAGAAAATAATGATATTTTCATTTCTGGTACATTCAGTACAGTTGGATGTAAAGCCCCTTTGATAAAACATTTACAAAGAGTTCACTTTTAGCCCATGTACACATATATCAGATATCATATATATTGATGGACTTTTAAGGCAAAAGAGGAAAAAAATTATACAAATAAGTACAAAGTCAATCAAACCTCTGAAAGTATGCAGGACACTGGGTATATTTACAATGGCATGGCAGCTGCTGCTCCACCACAAAAGCCAACAAAGACAGTGATATTGTGCGAAGCCTTGCTTCTATTAGTATTAAATTACACCCTGTCCTGCTGCATCATGATATTGCCCAGGATATGATGCTATGTAAATCCACATCTCCAATTGAGGGCTTTAATAAATCATAAAGTGCATCTCAATTCTGGAACCGTTCAGAAATCTTATAATACATGCATAGATCAGCAATGAAAATACTGGTGGAATGCTATATATTATTATTGGTGTCAAATTTACTTTCTTTTCAAAATACGAGACAAAATGCTCAAAAAATTTTTTTTTACTTTCCTCCTTTTAATTTTTTTCCCTGAAGGTAACTGTACCTGAACTGACTGAGTCCAATACATTTATCATATCTGTATCTGCTACAGACAGAGACTCTGAGATGTATGGGCCTGTCTCTTACAGAATTATCTCTCCATTAAGGGATTTGTAATGAATCCAACCACTGGTATGTAAACAAATTTACATTTTGTTGACACTGCATGTGTTTTGGTCAAATAAATGCTAAATTTTCAACAGATGATGTAAGGTTTCATTCAATAACCCTTCATTTATTGACAAGAAAGAAGAAAATAGTGTTTTGCATTAACCTGACAAATGTATTTTTTTAAAAACAAGATTAAAATAAAGATATGCAATATTTGTTTTAGTGGGATTTTATTGGTGCCAAAGACCAAAGTTCCACTAAAACAAAAATTGCGCATTCGTTTTTAATTATAAGGGATGTGGTGCCCATAATCACTCATCCATCCACCCTGTATAAAATTAAAATAAACTAAAAATAGTTTTATATTTGTGCAAAATAAACTCAATGTAATAGTTAGAGCCAAATTTTTCATTATGAACACTAACTGTCTTTCTACTTTCTTGTTAGCAAATAGTACTCAGAGCAAGGTGTACCCATACAAATATTTTTTCAGTGTGAAGAGATTCTGACACATTCAGATCACACAGAGTCTTCTACTGTTTTATTCCATAAATAGTAGTTCTACTTGCTTATTTTTATGACTGTGTCAAGGTGGAAACTGGATGCTTTGCCTCAGTTTTTCTGAATGTAGCAGTGGATTTTTATTAAAACCACTCTTGAAGTCAGAATTTGATAGTTTGTCCAGTATTTCTCAATCACAGATCTCAAGGCCTATTAGATGTGCATTTTTTTTCAGATCACTTCCCTCTATTAAGTGTAAGATAATAAAAACATTCTGTTAAAATGCTGTAAATTTAGAAAACATTTGCTGCTACCTGGAAGTTGGGAAAACATAAAAAAGTGGGTTCCTCCATGTAGACTGTAAAATTGTGCTACTTGCACAATCCATGCATGGCTGCCATCACACATTGACACTGTTGTGCAGTGAATACCAGTTATGACAGTATAAATCAATCAAGCCCATGTGTGTGCAAAACTAATCTTTGGTAAGCCTAATAAAGTTTATGAACTGACACAAATACTCATCCAGCAAGGCTAAATGTAGACTATGTATAGACTGCAGTAGACATTGGAGTACCCACTGCTCAGTCTAGATAGAAATTTACAGTTAGTCAATAATGTTCCATTCAGATCAAGGTTGTCTGCACAGTGCATAAACATCAGTGGTTTTATTACAGTACCATTTGGAGATCAATATATCAGTGTCACCTTCTTAAATACTAGTAATGCCAAGACCTTTGAAGCATTAACTACACCCTTGCTTAACAAAAATCATACTTTTCCCACAGCTTCCAAATTCTTTTTTCCTTGCACTTCTTCACAAAAATATAAGAACCTTGGATGTGAACAGGTTAAGAGGACATTGACATCATCTGTTAACAACACTTTTTTTTCTCTTTATTTTGTACTTTGTCAAGCTCTCTTCTGTTCCACCAGTCTGCTCAAAACCCCCTTAACTCTGCACACTTCACTGGTTTATTCTGAAACACTGAAATCACACCTGATAACTAGGCATTAGTGAAATAGTTTGCATAAGGTAGATTTGCCATGAAAATTGCTGTTGCATATTATCTATTTATCAATGTAATATCACCTGAATTTCTTTTAATCTCTGCTATCCATTTATCTACATTTATTATAACATATGCAACAGCCGTATCTCTAACATATTCCCTCAATGTTCTCTACATCTTTCTCTAATTATCTTTTTCTCTGCTATATAAATGTCACCTTACTGCTTTGCAAGCTTGTAACGCAGCAGGAAGGCAATGTCGCAGATATTTCATGTTACTTTAATTTTGCTAAATTATTTCCTCCTGCAGTGTAAAGCAGAACCCCAAAAGGTGCAATCAGTACTGCATGTTGCAGGCCTCTGGTAGACATATGGGAATGGCAAATAATTGCATTGGCCAGTAATATGCTGTATGTGTTGACAGTAATATATCACGACTGAAAATCTAATACCTTGGTTTACCAGCTGGTGAGAAAGATGTCCTAACTGGTCTGCAAATTGCATCATATTGCAGTTGTATGCATATGTTTTGGATTGCTTTTTATTTACTGACGTAACCAAATATAGTCAATTGCATTTAAATGCTCCAAATCAAACCTCAGAGTCAAGTCACTCCTCTCTAGATGCTCAGACTTTTAAAAACTCTGATCCGGATGTTTAAACCCAGCTTTATGCATCTGCTGTTGGAATTTACTGTACTGAAGAACTGGTAAACAAAAATACGTTCTATTTAATAACAGGTATTGACCCAATTTTATTTCTTTCCAGGTGCAATACATACAGATACCCCAGTGGAAATCAAAGAGAAAAATACAGTGATTTCTATTTTCGTAGAAGCAAAGGACAAAGGTTTCCCAGTATTAACCTCAACTGTGATTATTGAGCTGCAGGTCCACGATACAAATAATCATGCACCAATATTTTCAGAGGAGGTTTACCAGATCTGTGTCAGAGAAAATACTTCCATTGGGGAAACCATTCTCACTTTCACAGCAACAGATTTGGACTGGACTCGTGAAAATGGATACATTGACTTTTCTATTGTCGGTGGAAATTTACAAAACATGTTTGTTGTGGAGAGTGGTGGAATTCTTTCCCAGGCTCCTTTTGTTGTTACTGGAAAACTAACTATAAATGGGATTTTGGACTATGAAATCAACAGAGACCATAGGCTAGCTACTGTTAATTGCCTCAGACCGAGGATTACCTTCCTTAAGTTCCAGCACCACTGTCCTGATATCTATTCTTGATTCAAATGACAATCCTCCCACACTGCAGAGTAGTGAATATCATGTTAGCATCCAAGAACACCATCCCATAAAGAGTGAAGTGATTTCTGTTTCAGCCAATGATTTTGATAGTGCAGGGAATGCAGAAATTACCTACAGCATAGTGTCTGGAAATGATGAAGGAATTTTCACAATTGATCCAGGAAATGGTACTGTCACATTAGTATGCCATCTGGATTATGAAACTGCAATGAGCTATACTTTAATTATAAGAGCTACTGATGGTTGGGGAAATGGAAAGCATGATGCCTTTTCAAAACTCTATATAAATGTGCAGGATGATAATGATTTCACACCAAAATTTCTGTTCAACAGTTTAAGTTGCAGTCTGTATGAAAACATGCCCCCTTTTACACCAGTATGCAGAGCTAATGCCATTGATTTGGATTCTGGGCCATTTGGTGTCTTGAGTTACTCTATTCCTTCAACTTGCCCAAATGAACCCAAAGGCCAAGATACATTTTTCATAGACACATTAACTGGAGATATTTATACCAAGTATAAAGTTGATTTTGAATCACAGAAGAGATATTGCCTTATTGTTCAGGTGAAAGATAAAAGTGAATCTACAGCTTGTGTTTTACTATATGTGGACATTAATGGACAGGATGAGTTTCCACCTGTGTTTCATGAGGACCAGTATTTATTTGATTTGCCTAAAGAAAATAAACCTGGAGAAATTGTTGGTAAGGTTGGAGCTTCAGACAAGGATGAGGAAATGATGGTGTTGTCCAGTATTCACTTGAAAAACCTTCCCAATTTTTTTCTGTTAATGTTACCAGTGGAGTTATATATCTAACCAGAAGTGTTCATAAAATAAGAAGTAACGCTAAGAAAAATGATGACATTTTGGAGTTAGTAGTGAAAGCTCAAAGCCCAAAATTAGACTCAAAGTCTTCAACTTGTACTGTTCAAGTTAACATTTCAACAGCTCTAGAGGGCTACTTCGGTATGTCAGCAAACATACTTTCCATTAGTTTCAGCATTTCATTTGTGGTTTTCTTGCTACTGGCAATAAGCCTTATTGGAATTATTCTAAGATACAAGCACAAAGATGTAGTAAATGCTTGTGGGATAAAAGAAGCTGCCATCCCTGCACTTCCCAATTCAAATGTTAAAGACTGCATGCCTGATGAATGTCCAAAGTTTGAAAATATTAAGAACGGCATAGCTCCAGACACATCTGAGTGGTTAGGGTTAGTTGGCATCAGAGAAAAGAAAGACACTGGGAACAAATGCAGGAATTCAGACTCAAGTGGCCATGGCTCCACAGAAGGGGAAACTGCTGAAGATGAAGAAATAAAGATGATCAATGAATACCCTATTAGAAAAGAGTCTGGCTCTGTTCTGAGTGAAAGAGGTTCACGAGTTCCAGACTCTGGAATTCCAAGAGAGTCTGATCTGCTTTCATGTGAGTCAGATGAAACAGATGTGGTGATTGGGTCAGAAAGGAATGAAAGTGTTGAGATCATTAAGGAAGACAATGGAAATGGAGAGAATCAAGTTCATTATACCTGCAAAGCAGAACTGCCAACAAACCACCACAGCAATGACACAAATCCAAAGGACAAAAACACTTTGCAAGATATCAATCAAGACTATATCTATGTCCCCATGTCCTATGATTCTAGGTATGGTTCTCTGGCATCTTTAGTAGCTTCTGATGAGGACTTGAGAGGAAGCTATAACTGGGATTACCTGCTTAGTTGGGAGCCCAGGTTTCAGACTCTTTCCTCTGTTTTTTGTGACATTGGCAGGCTAAAAGATGAAAATATGAACAGAAATGTACAGAAGCAAAAAAAACCTTTTATTTTCCCACCCCCTCTTATCACATCTGTTGCGCAGCCAGGGATAAGAGCTGTGCCGCCTCGAATGCCAACTATTATGTCAGGACAAACTTTTGTAAAATATCCCCGTTCTCCTTTTTTCTCCAGTCTGGCATGTCAGTCTTCAACCATGCCCCCAACCTTTTCTCCTTCTTTATCCATGCTCACAGTCCACACTCCTTCCACCTCACCTGTGCATTCAGGTCTCAGTGGAACATCAGTGCCTGCTCTCTCTGAAGAATTGCTAATACAGCAAGAGTTTCAGGTGTAAAAATGAATGTTTTCAATTATGGACACTTATGAGGACTCGAAAGGGCATGTCTAAACTAATCAGCCTGACTCTGCATTGTTTGTCAGTTGTAACATTTTTACTACCTACATTCTTTGGTATACATCTTAGCCAATCAAAAGGTGTCAAGTAGGTGGTTGCTCTGGATTTTACTTGCAGGCTAACATTTGTTCCACACATCCAAACCTGTCCCATGTATGGATTCCTGGAATCCCACAACAGTGCATGAAATGTTTCAATAAAAACTCATCTGTGCAAACAGTAACTTCATTGCAAATGGCCAGTATTTACCAGCATTTAAATATATAATAATACTACCATTAGTAGAAATTAATATTTATGGACTGAACTATAGAATTATGTACATGGACTAGATGACACATAATGCCATCCATAAAAATAACTGACAGTTACAGTTAGCTAAATAACTGTACTACAGAGATCCTTAAATTTCCCAAATCTAGCCTTCTGATAGATTTGATACTGAAATGCAGAATTACAAAACTGTGAACTGTGTATATGGCATTCATTAGCTTGTTCCCTTATGTTTGTGGAGCTCTTTCTGCATTCTGGGAGCCCAACAGAAAAAAAAAAAATGAACCCAGTGAATCCAGCTGAAAACAATGCTTATTCTACAGTGGATATGGAGATACATACATTGCTTTGTCTGGGATGAATGTGTAACAGTATACATATCTCCACGGCAAACAGAAGAAATAGAAACATTCCTCACTGGGTGCAGTATATACTTTAAAGATCTACACATGCATAATGGAGTAAGAGGGACATGCTATTTACAAAGTCACTTATTTCACTATTCAGCCTTATACTAAGGCCCTGATTAGTGGATAGGTCACATAATTTCATAATCCTATAACTGTTATTATTGGTACAATATTTTATTTTCCTATAAACACTAGTATGGAACCTGATAGAACTCATTTTTACATACCACTCCAGCAGGAAAGAAATGTATACCTCGGCAAACCTAAAATTATTGAGTGAAGAATGTATATTTGCTCGTATACGGCTATGGGCGGTTGTCATACTGCCATAGTGGATTAATAAAAATGTGTTGAAATTAGGTGGTTTGCCCATACCAACTAGGTGTTTGCTTTAAATGCATTGCCCAATTGAAATGAAAATTGTATCAATGGACTGTATGGAGCAACCAGAGCCTCCCTACCCAGAGGGATTTGTGTTTCACCCAGGCATGTGGATAATGCACTATGAATATATCAGAGACCCCCTTTACCGCTATAAATGTATCATAACATGGCCACCTCCACTCTCCATCTTTACGTCTACTGTCTATACTGCTCCCGTGGCTACCATTCAGTTGGCTAGGTAAAACCTACTCCAGCACGCAGCACAACTATATATAGATTTCACCTTGCAGAAAGCTAGAGTAGAAAATATCATACTTGTGTACTAAGAGCACAGAACATAATCGTGTGACAAGAGGCTACAGATCCATCCAGAAGTCCCCTGTTAACCTTGCTAAATCTGGATGCATTTGGAAGATATAAAACTGAGATAACATTAACCTGTGTGGACTTTGGTACAGTAGCTATACTCTGGTTGCTATGGGCAGCAACTCAATTTCCAATTAATTTGTTGTTTATAAATAAGGTCCAATGTATTTTTATGCTTTATATTAATGCATCATACTTTGATGAAACGTTTGTATCATTTATGTGTCAATTTCTTAAAAAAAAAGATATTGAAACAAAATACAATTTGACATGAAAGATTTGTATTATTCTTTTATATTATAAAATGAATACATGTTATATATTCATGGATGACGCAAAAGATGTTGGAAAAATCTTTGTCTTTCCTTAATAGCTAAAAAGAGGCATGTTCTGCCCCAAAAAATGTTTTTCTGTAACCTAATGATTTAATAATCTTCCAAAAATGTGGAAACTGTCAAATTTGATTTTAGTAGGAAAAGAAAATTTTTACCAATGTGCTGTTCTGATCCTGATGGTTTAATGTTATCATAGATAACCCCATGAATATAAGGACTTATAATGTGTAAGATCATATATTTGGAGTAGCATGAACAATAAGACTTACACATTTTAGTACTTGCACAACTGTTTGCATATTAGTGCAAATTAAGATGTAATAATTTACACATTGTAGAGAACTCCATGTTTGCCAATCTTATTTGGATTTTTTGTTGTATATCTAGCACTTACTTTTCCTGCAGGTGTTCATCAGTGGAAGATGGGAATTATTTTTACCCTATCCCTGTAAATATTAATAGCCTCTTTCTCTGACCTTGTGATGTCATCCATAGTAACAATAAACACCACATCCCAACTTACTTTTTGGATCTGGTGTCAAGTCTCCTTGATTTCTGCTGTCATTCACTAACAGTGACACTTATAGAACTCTTTTTTTATGGTGCTAAATGACAGCTGCAGGAAAGAGAAGGAGCGACATGGATGAGCAGGAGAGTGTATACTGTGAGAGTTGACCAGCTACAGCAGTAGAGACTGGTGTAGAAAAAGGGTGTTGGAGCAAACCCCCTGCTTTTTCAAAGTCCATTCGCTCATGCAACCACTGCAATTATTGTATCTTTGTTGCTTGTGGGAAGTATGTACAAATGTACTGATTCTTGTCTAGATTATCATCAGTCTTATACCAGCAAGGGAAATCAAAAAATAGTATTCAAATACTTACACTAACAAAAAAAAATCCTGTTTTATTGACAACCAAAAACTGAAAATAAAACAACAAATATAAACCTCTCAGACTTTTTTCTTTTAGGAGACCCACTTCTTCACCTTGGTTTTAATTTTTGTACCAATAAACAGTCTTGTAAAAGAGAAAGGCTCCATAGGTTTATATTTGTTGTTGTATATTTTGATGATATGTGTGGAACACAATAGTATTTTCAGTTGGTGGTAGTCCATAAAACAGGATTTTTGTTAGTGTAAGATTTGTTGGTACAGGGGACTCTGGAATGAAGTTTTGGGGAGGTTGAGTGGCCATTTTTACATTTTGTATATGTACTGTATATTCAAATACTTACCATAACTTTCCTTTCCTGACAAGCTCCATGTTAGCACATAAATGGGCAGATTCCGCCCTCCTTTACCACCCATCGGACCTTAGGCCCACAGCATTAAATAAAAGTTATTTGCTGATGTGGAGCTTGTTAGGAAAGAAAAAAGTATTTGAACACATTTTTCTGATTTATTGACAGCTCCACATCAACACATGAATAGGAAATAACTAAACTAATCAGGAATGGGAATACATAATAATTTTAATTGTCAATTGTAGTTTTCAAAAAAATTTCAGAAACAAAATTAAATGTGAAGTGGTTTCAGCACAATAATGTGAAATGTGTTGATAGAGGACCATAAGGCAGCTTTGCAGATAATTTCTGGGTAAACTTTGGAGGCCGTTGTCCAGCAGGTTGACATAGTGACCCAAATGGACTATGTTCTCAAACATCTCGGAGTAGAGACTATTCATTGTCTAATTGGAACCTCAACAAATAGTTTGCTTGGAAATTGTGGATTCCTGAGATGTATCCTGCTGAAGAATTCTGAAAATTGGTTGGTGCCCACTCCATTAATAAACTTCTTCTGTGGGACCTTGAGGAAGTCCCATGAATGACCTTCTGAAATAGTCTTTAACACTTACAGGTCCTGAATGTTATCTACCCAGGTCTGCTGGAACTTGGATAAACTGGCCCCAACCTGGCAGACCAGGGCTTTTGAGAGCCTTGGTCAAGGGTAGAGGTAGGTTTTGCTGACTTCAGATATGATGTTTGTGTAATTTTCCAGGACCTACTGTATTTCCCTACTGGTCTACATCTTGATCTTGCGCAGGGCGCTTATACAGAGGTTTCTCCCATCTGAGAAGAAGTCTTTCTTGTGGGATCAATCACAACTTTCCATTAGTTGCCTTCACAATAGTGGTGTCCAACTTGCTGTCCAGAAGTAGAATAGTTTTATTAGGCAAGGCTATGCCCTAATTTCCTGGTGACAGAGAGCACAGACAAGTAATTTACTATAAAAATTAAGAAAATGAAGAGGATACAGAAGTGTAAAATTAGTCAGTAGACCAGAATGTGCTAAAAACAAAGAGTAGAGGCAGGTGTGTTACCACAAAAATAAGAGAGGACAGATGATACAGCAGTGTAAAATAAAAGCCAGTAACAAGTGAATGCTGCACTTTGAGCAACTCAAATTTAAAAATGTTATTTAATAAACCTATAAAATTAATGAAAACTCAAAAATACTACCCTGAACATAAGAACATAAAAGAAGCAACAAAAATAAGTTTACTGTGGACACGACAGCAGCTAAAAGTGACAGCTGACCTCACATCCACTACAAAAAAAAAAACACCTATTTGCCCATATAGCTAGCAATCAAAGTTAAATACAGTTTCCTAACTGGCCCTAATCTCTACTATTCAGTTTTTTACATTTCCCTATATTTTTACAGCAGCTTCCATACACTGACACTATGGCTGATCTGTGCCCCACCATCCATTTTATAATTATATAAGAAGTCAGGCTTATCAAAAAGACCCTTTGTTAATCCTTCTAAACCTGCTGCATAGATGAAAAGCTATGCAGTGCATTATTGTTTTTTAAAAAATGTTCTATAGGGATTCTGAACATGATTTCTATAAACCATGAATCTTGTGGCCATGGTGGTAGACAACCTGAACCTCAACCATAGAGGGGAAGTTAAAGGAAATCTGTATAGAGTATTTTATAACCAGATCAATTGCCTTTGTTTGATGGGTTGTTTAATTGAATATTTGGCTGTGTTTACTGTCATACAGCTATTTACTGCAGCTACAGCTTAATCCCATCACTTGGCTGAGTGATATATTTAGCTGAACCACATCACACTATTCATCTGCTGTGGGGTCTAGCAGCACAGGAGGCTCAGTACTATCTGGCTGCTTACTGGTAATATTAGACAGCAACAACCAAATATTTTCAT